AATTCGACCGATATATATTTCTCGATCTATACTCTGTGGATTATACGAACTAAATAGTTCATGGACGTATTCTGACTACGAGAACCACTACCAATGTGTCTTTCAGATGCAAAATAAATAAAAACTCTACGATGTGTATCAGAGGCGTACCGCACTTATAAACCACAGAAGGAAGAGAGTTCCAATTGTCGAATTATAAATAGTATCAAGAGCAGTCATCCTATTCCGCAATGTTGAACATTGCGGAATCAGTTCCATCTAATTCCGGGAACCCGATCATCATTCAGCATAAGAGATCTATTCCACATCGATCGAGTTTCACCAATTCCCGGAAAACCCGGAACTGAGTTCAGACGGAATTACTAGCAATCCCCAGAAATTTCTTCCCATTCTGGAATTGGAATAGTACTGGGAATTCCGGAATTATACAGAATTAGACGAGATTCCAGGAATTCCGGAATCAGAATAAATTCCCAGGAATTCCTTCGAATTCTGTCTTGACTCAATTCCCGGAATTCCTGAAATTGACGGAACTCGATCGATATCGATTGGCCCTTTTCTGTGGAATCATAATCGAGCTCCAGAAATTGGTTCCGTGGGTGGAACTGATTCCGCAATGTTCAACATCGCGGAATAGGATGCATTCTCGGTGGATGTGGGTGTTGGTGAGTGTGGGGTGTAGGTGGGTCTGGGTATGGGTATGGGTATGGGCACAATGGGCAGAAAAATGGAGTGAGAAGCGATTTCCAGTTGCCAAATCGCTTTTGAATCGACACTATGTGTATTATGTAGGCTCTAATGAGCTATGAACATCCTGAAAGGAGTTCGTGCTTATAGCTTATTTCTGTCGAGATATTTAATTTTTATGACATGTTTTAGCAAAAAGCCGTGGTCCCCCTCAAGTTCAACTGGAAAATCAATTTTCGAATATCGGCTTGAAACTTTGCCCAGAGAAAGGTTTCAATACGACTAGTTTATTTCGAAAGTTTTGGATTTTTGGGATTCTTCTATCCCGAGATACGAGTATAAGAAAAAAATATTCTCTTTCACATCACTTACAGCGCAAAATGTTAAATATTCATATTTAAGGATAGGAGCAACCAATAAATTTGAAGCTTTCAGGTTTAACTAGACTCATTGAGACCTTTCTTTGCGTAAAGTTTCAAGTCGAAATTCTAAAGTTGATTTTTCAGATGAACTTCAGGAGAACCACGGTGTTGTGCTACAAAATGCCGTAACAATCAAATATCTCGACAAGTGTTCAATGGCGCGTCTTTATGCTTTTACTGAAGATAGATTATGACACGTTCTATCAAATGAGAAAGTAAAGCTTGAATTTAAAATCTCGCAAATGGACTGCATTATGTGTCAGTGGCTATTTTTCACTATACTGATGATAAGTTTTGGATCTTATTCTAGCCTAAAAAACTTCAAAAAGTCCAAACGGTCTGTAATATATAGTAAATATATAACACTGTATAACTACATAATAACTGACGGATATAATTAGATCCTTAATTTGAAATACACATTTTACTTATATGTACTATTACTGATATTCACCTATTTTACATATGTTGTGGTGCCTGCTATTTACTACATACTCTCTATTGAGTAGCATCCAAGATGCACTTCAATGCAGGACCATAGTAGGTTCAATGCTAGCTACGATATGGGTTCGAATCTCGAAAATCGATTTTGTCGCCTGGCTGCCGACGGTGTAGAGTGTGGGTGCCGGTGTGGTTGTGTTCAACACTATATCCACACCCGCGCACTTCCTTCTGCTCAGTGGATTTATGACCGAAAACTAACGAGTTTAAACTTTCTCGAGGATAATCGTTCTTGAAAGAGAACAAATCAATAGGTATATCTTTATAAAAATACCAAAAAAATAATAATCTGTTTTGAGCAACATTGTCATGAACTTCTCGGAACCTTGATAGTACTTTATAACCAAATTCTTTTATTAGAAGATGTGTCTTTTGATGCTCTACAAAGCCATACAAAATTTATCTTAGGCTCGTCACAAATGAATTCATAGCAGAAGTAAGAAAAGTATAATAAAACATGTAGAATAGACTAAAAACTAGTGAATTTCACTTATTATAATAGTAATGGCGTATGTAAAATATAGGACTTTGTAGAACAGCTTCCATTCTATCGATTGATATAACTCGATAATGGTTTGGGTCGAATCTTTATGACAAAAAAAATCCATAAATAAAAACGATCGAAAAGTTATAGTTTTTGACAGAGCGATATTTTAGATCAAAACTTTTAGATAACCGAAGTATTAGAAGACATTGTGTAAAATTTGTCAAAATTTGAATTTCTGACGGTGAGTAACTTTTGATACTGTTTCAAACTAGCAATCTCATTTGAAAAATTAGAATTTTTCGGTAACAGGCTTTAACTGATTTGGGTGATGACTTCATGAACCCTCTCGTACTGTAATCACATCATCAAACGCAAAATATTCATGTTTTACTTGCTAATTCGGTTTTACTGATGACAAATTTATGTTTTCTATTACTGCTGACAATACTCTTTTTAATACGCTCTACAACTTTCATATTCATTATCCTTACTTGCTTGCTTAATGATGGTCATGCTTTTAGATGATTTTCTTACAATTGTGCATGTTTCACACTCCTAACTCACGTAACGCATGAGTGACCTATGTATTTTTTTTAATGATAATCTATAGAAACGAAAGAAGCTATGATTTACATACAAAGAAAAGTATTTTTTATTACACTAAATGAGAAATAAGAGAGAAATATTGCTTATGACGAGAATAGAGAGGAAAGAAGAGATGATTTACATGGCAAGAAAAAGGTTTTTTTCTCTTCAACTGACATATAGTCCAATGTGCAGTCAGCTGTACAAGGCGGAAGCATGCTAGGCAATTTATACCAAAAAAAGTAAAAAGACAGACAACACGTGTTGTTGAGAATCACAATAAGCGATGAAGAAGTTCACGTTGTTTTCAGAAAGTAGAAACTTGCGATGTTTTTTACATCAACAGTACAAGGGGGAAACAGCAAAATCCATGAATCCATGAATCTACTTGAATCCGTTTGAATCCGCTTGAATCCACTTGAATCCACTTGAATCCAAGGGACTGGATTCTGCTGTTTCCCCCTTGTATTGAATACAAATTCGTTTCGATAATTGCTCAAAACTCGGGTCAACTTGTTAAATTTCAACCGTTGCTAAACAACATTGCTATTTTATATCGAAATGGTGGTGGTGATCAAGTCAAAGGCATACTTTTTACTGGAAAAAATGCAACTGGTATTAGTGGCTCTCGTAACGATCAAGAAAAGCCTCCTGGCATGATCGAAAATTCCAATTGCACTTTCACAGATATTGGAGATGGTGTGATCAATCGATTTATTCATATTTCCATTGTTGGGGTTGCTGTTAGTCAAGCGCAGTGGCTTTTTATTGAGTTGCGGGATCTTGTTCAGGATTTAGCCACGACCGTTCAGGATATTTTCATTTTAAACAGTGGAAATGGACTTATCATATGTGAAACAGATGGTGCTTTTACTTTCTGGAATATTGTCTGTCGCAATAATAAAAATGGTGGTCTCATTATCTACGATATGCTTAGTGGTCCACTGACAATAACCGAAAGCACATTCGACAATAATCGAATAGCCAATGTTTTCATTTCCAACTCATATGCTGTTATTGTTCGTGATAGTTTGATTATAAATGCACGCCCCAAATCAGACGATTCCTATGGTGATGGGTTTGTAGCAATGAAGAACAAAGAACCGATCGAATTACGTACGAGTGCAGTATACGACAATTATCGTTCTGGTGTAAGTGTATGGGGTGGTAGATTGATAGTGATAAACAACCATCTACATGATCATAAGTTCGATCTCAATTATGAAACTTTTGATGGCATTCCGGGCGATTTTGAGGGTTCAGCAGGAAATATTTGTTCTGATTCTTCACCTGACTATATCTGTTCAGCTCTATCATCCGTATTGGAGCCACCTCGGCCTATTTCTCCCACACACTGATTGAAGTAATAAAAGATGTGTTTTTATTCCTGAAAACATCAAATTATTTCTGCCAACTTTTAATTTTCATAATAATTGTGCAAAACATTTTGAAATAATCTAACAATAAAATTAACGATCAAAGGCGCTTCACTTTCCAGATTCAGAAGTAAGAATATCTGGATGATATAGCATATGCTACAAAAGTAGTACGATGACTACATAAACCGAATTCATTAACATCGTTAAATTTAGTGAGTAGTACGAAAATATTATCGAACGGAGAATGAAACTAATACTGCATTTTAGTTCTACTACTCAGATCAGCTCAAGTCTCACGAGAAAAGGCTAAAATAGCTGCACAAAATTAATATAGAAATGAAATATATGGAGGTGATGAATAGAATAGCAATGCCAGACGAAGTGATCGAGGAAATGAACACATACCAAATGATAAAGCTTATCAAGAAACTAGAGATAACAAAATGAACTAGCATCGATGGAGCATTATATTTTATGATCAGACGAGCCCATCAGTCATGTTGACTATCAAATAAACTGTTTCAGAATTTAGCTAAAGAAGCGTAGATATCCTAATAATTGAAAACTTGTTAATTTAGTAATCTTGAACAAATAAAAGTTGGAAGTCCCTTATTAAAACCAGAATAGTCCAATCTTTCTTTTGGCAAATCATTTAACCAAAATGTGTACGATCGTATGTGACACATAAGACTGATTGTTAAATTATATAAGCTACGAGTGTTACTTGAATTATCGGAACTTATTATTTCTTAGCTTGCTAATCGCCGAGTTTCTTGTTTATTTCGATGAAGTAAATCAGGAATATGTAACATCTACATTGGTATGCCACAAAGCGCTAGTTGGAATCCATATTTGTTTATTATTTCGATCTGAGCTCATTTATCAATGCCCATTTTAACTATATATTCGCCGATGATCTCGATGTCTTTATTTGCTGACCAATATATCGAAGAATTAGACAGAAATTGAAGTTTTAGAAGGGGAACAGGCAGCAATGTGGGGTGTGGGTGTGTCTCACAATTATTTTCTCTCACACCCACACCTACCCAAAACACAATGCCAATTTGCAAGTAAAGCACTTGATGTTGGGTTGAACTTCTGCTTCCTTGGTGCTACAATAAGCACATCTTCTTCTTGTTCCTTTCATAGGCAAATGCAGTTCATTGTCAAAATTAAGAGCAGTTTTTGGTGATGATAGTTTAGACTTCTTTTCAGAAGTAGGTCTTTCATGACTTATTCGTTCACTACCGGAGCAGAGAGACTTCGCCACTGAAACCATGTAATTTAAGTATGTTAATTTATCCTGAGCTAACTGATTATAGCAAATAAATGAGTTGGAAATAGATATATTAGAATATAAATGAAAATTAGAAGCCAGTTTCTTTTAGACTTGCGATCAAGATTGTACCAGGATATTTTTTTTGTTGACTCGATCAACTCCATATACAAACTAATTGTAATCTTTTATTGTTTCCGGACAATTAATTTTAATACGTTGACCATTTTTCAACAGACGGAAAATCGGAACAACTTCGCTGTCTTCATGATAATTTCAAGCCAAGAAAACGTGTCTGGTATCCATCCATATGAAGACAATGCTGTTCAATATAATCATTGGCTTGCAATCTCCACGTTCCATTTTATCTTTCTTGGCAAAATTTGACGGAATACCTGCCTGATCTGGTCTTATCGTTCTACTGGCCTTTATGTTCTGTAACTTTAGCTTTTCTAATAATCCGAGAGAAGTGAAAAAGTTATCGAAATATAGATGTTTTCCTTCAAAATTGTGACCAGAGATAAGATTGAAAACAACACATTCGTCCAAAGGTATTTCTTTTTCACTAGTTTCTTCTTTTCCTAAATAGATTTGATAGTTGAATAAGTAACTAGTGATTGGATCACATAAACACTAACCTTTATAGCCTCTGTTTATTGGTTTTAGAGGCAAATATTTCTTTAGGCTTGACCTTTCTTTGAATTTTATCATACTTTCGTCGATTGTACCATAGCAGCCAAAGTTATAATTTTTCTGAAAATTTCTCCATAAAATTTCAGTAAAATTCACCTAGGTAAAGTTATCACCAGATTCGAGAATTTCCAACCTGAATTCTCTCATGAACTTGTTCCAAATCTCCCATTCGTGTTGCAAGTAGGACTCGACGAGCTCTATCTGACGGTATACTCAGATTTTCCACAGTCCAAAGTACGATTTCTGAGACCATAGATGGCGCTGTACAAAGTCTGAAAATTACAGTTCGGGTTGTGAAAAATCTGAACAAATCATTGCGTAGAGCTCGACAAGTTGTACTTGAAACAAGTTCTTGAGCGGATTGGAGCTGGAAATAATCGACTCTGGTGATACTTCACCTATGTTTAAAATTCTTAACTTTGTAAATTTTACTGTAGCTTTTATATTCTCGTTTTGGTTGCAACTAGCTATCAGCCAAATGTAAATTACAAAAAATTTGAAGAAAAAGATATCTTGGCATGATCGAAGAAATAAATGTATTATAGAATACCATATCTTTACATCAATAAAGTTTTATATTTAGGCAAGTCATTGATACCCATCAGAATAATAAACACGAGAAAAAAATTCAATATGTTTTTTGCTCACATCCTTCCATTTACTGTTTTTTTGTGATTGTTACTTCGTTTCTTTCCTTTTCCAGAAATGTTTGTTTGATCAGTAATTAGGTTTAAAATTCCTTCAGTAAAGAAGGTTTTAAAGACTGAAACTGAAGTTTGCTCTTTTTGACAGAGACTAAAGTAAAGCAACCATTCGTGATATATACTTTCATTCATTGAATTTAGCTCCTCTGCATATATATCCAAATCTTCATCAAAAAGTTCAAGCTCATCTAACTTATCGACTAGTTGATCGTAATCGAAATCGAAGTCACTGTCGCTTCTGTCATCACAGGCATATAAATCACAGTACTGGTCATCGACTTCATTTTTTCCATAGAATTCCATTTGTTTAGTTTGAGTTATAAGAACGGTATAAAGAAATGAAGCATACAAGTACGAAAGAGAAATTATATGCTTTGCAAATTCAAGAACAACGTAAATTCATCAATAGGAGTAGGAATATATATAAACCCAAAAGGGAATGGGAATATTCTCGAAAAACAAAAGATCAGAGGAGCAGAGAGAAATTATGACGTCAGTGTACCTTGGAAGCAAGAACAAAGAATATTCGAAAAAAAATTATATGAGACAAGGAAAGAAAGAAAAAAAAGTATAAGATGACAAATACGGTTGTCTATGACATTGTATATTTAATAGTTTAGTGTGAGCTAAACACTTTTTTCTCTACTGAAAAATAAGTGGGACAATGTATGTCCCACGATCCTCAAAAAGGGTTAAAAGCCAGTCAAAAGCCTTGCTGACTGTTTAAAGTGACAACTTCAATAAAAAGAAAAGAATAATGGTTTCTGAAATTAGCCCTAAAGAAACTGCATAAAAAGCTCTTTCAGAAAATGAAGGATTATTCGAGTCGTATTTTGCTTTATATGAAACAAAACAAAAACTAAGTTGATGTACAACTGAAGAGTTAATTTCGACATATCGTGTATTATAAAACATTGGCGACAAACTTTTCGTTCGAGAATCCTTACACTGATAAAGAAGTTTTTATTGACTAGAGAAGCAATGTTCTGAGAGCGGATAAGATTTTCTTCTTATATCTTGCTTACAAATTATATTAATTTAATGAAATGAACTTGTTATAAAGATTCTTCTTATCCAAACATTGAAGCCTACACACGCACACCATTGTTATGTAGTCTTTCGTTGAGTATTGACGTAATACACGAAAAATCTCTGCTAACACAATAGAATTCGTTGTGTAATTCAATCACCTGCTTCTTTCTATTCCAGTAGATTCAATATATACAGTCACAAGAGAGACTGATAATCGTCCCATTTCGATCGAACATGTAATAAAATTAAAATCAGTAGTAGTTGCTCCTGATTATAATGCCAGTATAGCAATAAGCAATGCTCAGTCCCTCTCAACCATCATCAAGTGGGAGAAAAAAATATTATACTTTTAGTAAATCATTTTTTTCATAGATCTGGTTAAACCAAATCCACCTATGAATCATTCACCAAGAACAAAAATCGATATGTAGGACCATTTTAATAGAATATGTGGATTGGAAAACATTCGAAACCTAAAGGTGAACTATCAACACTGACTACAAATGATTGTAACAGAAACGCTACATCACTTAAAACAGAGTTCTGAACGGTGAAGTGTGGATGTGACTATCATCCGTTCATACAGAACAACCAACATGCATTCATTCACACCCATGCCCACACCCTCGATTTTATTCGACCTTGAAATCGGCATATTATACAAGTAACTGCTTTATGTTACTAGTTTATTTGTGATTAGCTTCTCTAGATGAACGGGGCCGATAATGTGTTTAACAATTATTGCTCTGTTAATCTGAAAATAGTTTACAAATCTATACACGTTTCCATACTCTAATTGCCATATTTCTTGGTCGCAGCTCTCCTGGTCGTACGTGAAATTTTAAGCAGCTGCGCCAATCATCATTTCCACCTGTTGTCATTGGCGCACTCCATCCCTGTACACTTTCAAAATGTATGTCGTGTGCTGTCTCCCGAATGCCAGAACATTTGTTAACATGTGTAATTCTGGGATTGTTCTCGCTCTGCACTGTTCCAAACGCTGCTGCACCTGAACCTTCGACTCTGAAGAAGACTCCAGCATACAGAGAAGTGATGTCCTCCCAATTGAATGTTGGCCATATTTCTTTTGGGACCGGTTGTTGCGGATATTGAACATAAATAAAGTTAATGGGGATTAGCTGCTCTTGTTTTTTCTCCAATTCCACAACATGAGCTCGAATGAGCAAGGTATCATTTCTTACGGCATCTGTATGTTTCTTGCATTCTCTGTTCATGAATGTCTCAATTTCGGTTACCTTACGTAGATTCTCTAA